AAATTGTCTCCAAAGTAGTGAAACGATGCTGTGAGAAATTCCGAACTCTGCAGCCACACTTGTCACACTGCGGCTTTCCTCCAACTTCCCAATGATTCGATCTCGGGTAAAAGCATCCAGATGTCGTCTAACAGATTGATTATTCGCCATTTCTCGCTGAGGCAGCAACTCGGTGTGATTTTAACTGCTATACGGCGTGCAATCTCTTTGCCAGAAATATTGATCTTACACCGACAACATGCTTTATACTACTCAGACACTCCCCCATTACGTTTAACTGCATATCTGCGCATGTGCTACCGTACATCACCTTACTTAATCTCCTGATTGGTCTTTTTGTCCGCTCTGCCTCTTCGTTCAGCTGATATGCTAATTTTTCGACTTCGTCCTTAATTTTTGCACACCAGTGTATATCAGTGACACAATGGGCGCTTTTCACTGCTTAGTCCGGCCTCTACACAGAGAATAACTCTTAACACATTACTACCGTATTTATTCGCTTATTTACCCCTTTTTTCAATAATTTTCCCCCCGAAAATCAAGAGGGGAAAATTATGCGATTAATTTATTTTCCGAAGTATGTGGTTACAGTAAGAACATAACAAATAAAACGAAGTCAGGGCTAAACTATAATTAACTGTCCCACAATATTACCTGCATTCCAATAAGAATACATAGTAATATAGCCATTACAATATCTAATAAGATACCTTCATTTCTACTTCCCTGCAACTTGACTCTTCCTCGTTCTTATTTTTGTCTCTGCTATTCCTTATACCTCAAATCATCCATAAATAATTAGAGAAAGTGAACGTGCAAGTGACCAATCGACTCAGTAGACTCTTCTGAAATAGTAGACTGAATGTCACTTCACTGTGAATGGTCGGTTCTTGTATAAGGCTAGTATAAAGTTTAACAGTTAAAAGATAAATATTCGTCGTAACCTTCGCAGGTAATTAATAAGCGTTCGCCTTTGTTAGTAAGACTAAAACAATCACTACGTATCAATAACGAAACCATTTTAAAATTTAGGGAAGCTCAATTTCTGAACGCTTTGAGAAAAGGCAAAATTGTGAGAATATTTTTTAAATTTTCAAACTTTGGCGCTAAAAAGGAAGGATAAAATATACGCGAAGAAATACGGTATACGGATAGAGTGGGAAGCATGTTACTATTCCTTCTTTTAATACAACTGAAGGTAGTCAAAATGTTGAATGAGATTATAGAATTCTAATTCTTTGACAGAGATTCTCTCAATGGTGACAGTTACAGATAACATATACCGCAACATTATGTTTGGCAATCAACTCTCTCTCATATATTACATCTGAGTTTTAATTTTCTTCAAAGTGAAGTTATCCCGGCCAAACAAGTGATCATCAAAGTTTTCTGTTACGAAATTTATTAAAAATGTGTCAATGCATCAGGAAATCTAACTGCATTATGCCAGAGTCTTACGAAATGCCATTCTGGAGCTAGAAAGTATTCTACTCCATGACTATGACATTTTACCTACATAATTCATAAAAGAGTTAAGAGAGCACGTAAAAGTAATGTGAGACTTGAGAAAGATGAACGCAAGGCTTATGAATATTTATACATTTTGTCCTTTCAGCTATTCATTACCTTTAGCCAAAAACAAAAATCCCGTTTTGATATTTAGTTTAAAAATGGCTAATGGCTGTGTAAAATTCTTTTCTTTTATTCTTGCTTTTTCTGTTTCTACTTTTCCATTATGTTGTTACGAAAATTATACTAAAGTTTATTATATTCTACCATTTCGTTCTAAATTACAAACAAGTAGAGACTAAGCTGAAATTCTGCCATTGATCGTATACAGAGGTTTGGAAAATCTGGCTATAGGTATCCTTTCCTTAAAAATTCTAGACATACACTATCTATTATGAATTTTCGTGAAATATGGTAGAGGATTTTATAAAATCCCAATTTCAGCCCTTTGATTCAAATAGTTCTGTTAATAAAAAATGTCACTTTTTTATCTTCTCTCTTTATAGCAAGGTGCTTTCCTCGTAAATATTAATAATAAGGTTCTCTTCAAACGTTTACTATACAAACGCGTACCAGCGGAAGAACAAATTGAATTTAGCTTATTAAAGCATTAAGTATGTTTGATTAAGTGAGATTTTTCTATCCGTTTGCGATATAAAAAGCTACATTTTACAGAGGCATTCGGTCCTTTACGTAAAAAGTATTTTCATGAAATCCCTGTAGGCGAGCTTACTACGAAAACGTTCATAACTGAAAATACAAGTCTAGAATCAAGGTTTAAGGTGATAAAGCATGCAGTTATCTTTCTCGAATACTTCTGTTATGTATGCATAAATACTATTTAAGAAATGCAATTAATTCGAATAGTTTTAAAATCTACACTGCTGTCAAATTCGTGACATTAAATGCTTGCAAAGTTCCAGTTCTTTTTCTTCTATACAGTAGGACTATAAATGCTTTACTTTGTATAATGAGTCTTAAAATATCATTGTCTAACATTCCTTTCTGACACTTCAGATTCTGGAGAGATAAACGAAGCTAATACTGCACGAATTTCTTTGAACGATCTGTTGACAAAATACAAAGTATATTCCTTTTGTTTCCTGTAGTATTTAAAGTAAAATATTCCCTTAGATTAAACAACTGATGTATGTTACTGCGCAAAATTCGAATTAAATAAACTGCGTCGAGTGATTGGATTGAAAAAGCCTTTCTATTTATTTTTCTTTGTTTACAATAAAAATAATTTCTCTTGATGTGAGAAATAAATTCTTTAAATAAATTTTCCCATCAGGAAAGCAATTTCGTTCCTGAGTAAAGAGTTTTCTTTTCATTTCTTAGGTTTATAATGTTCTTGTTGCAGGTTCTTTCTTCTTGGTAAATAATGAAATTAATTTTTGTAAATTTCTCTAAATTTTAAATGAAAAAAACAAATAAACTTTCATCATACTACATTAGACCATCTGAGTGTTCGAAAATTCAAACAATTTAACAGAAACAGTTTCACCATTGTTTATATTCAAAAATATACCCAACATCGTATATACGTATATCGCATACACATATTACATATGTAATAAAAAATCAAATTTAGAAGTACTGAAGTACAAACACTGAAACGCAGAAATACTAATGGTGTAGAACGTACATCCATGTTGAACAGCAAAAATTTTGATTGCATAGAATGCTTAAGTGTTGAATTCGTAATAACTAAGAAACCTGGCAGTCAAGGAGGATTAAATTATTCCTTTTTTTTATTTCAATTGACATCTGTGGCCACAATTCACCTGGAACTCTAAAAGTGCCTATTTAAGAACATCTACATTTTTGCCGTTGTTGCGATAGAAAAGGAGCACAGGGAAATAGCGTCCAAGCGGTACAGAGTTTTAAGCTAGAAGTTCGAAATTATCCAGTATGGAAGCTTACCAAGAGGAAGGTTTTGGTCAGTATATAAAAGTTTCAGTTCTCAAAATTTTGAATTTAGGTTCCGAATCAGCATTACGCAAGCCATGCGACATAGATTTATATAAAAATGACGCAGTACAGAAATGTTATTAATTTGTTTTAGAATAAAGAGGAAATGCCCAAATTAAAATGAGAAATTAAAAGCTTAGTGCTAAAATAAATTATAAATAATATTATTATTTATATATTTTCTATCTTACAAACACATATGAATAATATGTGTGTGTGATTTGTATATATATTTATAATATGTTTGTGTGTGTGTGATATGTCAATAAATGTATATACACACGCTTATATTATACGTATATAAGCGTATGTGTGAATGTGTGATGAAAATTTATCATTTCTTTATTCTTGGCAGATAATATTTATTAAATACACATAATAAAATGGGCGAAATTATTAGCTTATTTTTGACATATTCAAAGAATTGTAATTGAATCCTTAGAAGAGAGAGGTTAGTTAGATAACAACTGCGCAGAGGAGCGCGAGAAAAGAGCGAAGATTATAATATTGATATTAGATGAAGAACAGCAAAATTATGAGTCTTCTTTCTTTCTGTTAAATACTTACACTTAAATTTTACTCGTTATGTGGCTTTAGTTTCCAGAAACGTGTGATTATAAGACTATGAATCAAAACTTTGCAATAATGCTGCACAATATTTTTTTTTTGTTGATGAAATTGAAAAAAACGTAATGCAACAGGAAAATGTTTACAGGAAAAATAATAGAGTTTGCTATTTCATAGTACAATCCCTAAATTTTTGAGACACTCGAAATTAACATTCGGCTTCTCTTCAGTAGACTTTGTTCGGTTACTCTAGAATAGGATCACTCTTTCTTAGGATGCCTTCGTACACTGAAATTGTGCCAGTGTCTCGTAGATTCTGTTCGGGTGATTTGAACTCGATCCTACCAAGTACAAGACCTCTAGCAAATACTGCCATCTGATCTACTTTGCCACAGCTGGAATTTTAAGCTCTTGTATTGGATTACTTGAACGGCACGTAAAAATTTGGTCAATATTCGAGGCTTTCTGTTGGCAGGTTAAAAGCTTTGGCTTTCAAAATTTTCATTATTATCGTAGAAAAGCCGTCAGTTTCACTTCAGCCGTTGTAAGTAAGTACATGTATCATTAGCATCGTATCAGAATTATATGGCGGGTATTAATTTTCAACGTACGTCAACGTAATTCGTAACGTACTTGAAATGATTTATCATAATTATATTATTATTTTTATACTAAAAGGTGAAATAACCAAATTAAAAAAGGAAACTAAAAGCAACTCTTTATATATATATATATATATATATATATATATATATACTCGTCGAAGGAAACATTTCCAGAAATCTTTACATTTGGGATATCTGACTGGGGGACTTATGCTAAAACCAGCTCTTTAATTAAAACTTACGTGAGATAGAGATGCGAGCAAAAACATTTTTGCTTCAGTCGCAAAATATCCCGCTGACATGGCCGGAAATCAGGTTCCAAAGAGATTGTTTCGGCTAGGACAACTAGCCTTTTAAACCATTTTCAGGAGAAGAAACAACTCGTTTCTCGAAGAAGTTTCTTTTAGGATCGCGTTTCACTAGATGTGATAACCTATAAGAAACAACCCTGATATCTATAAATAAGATATAGCAACGAATTAACGTATATGTAATAATTTCGAATCTGATCTCAAAATCAAATTCAACATGCTTGAAGACGTTAGAAAAAAATGCTTGCAGCAACAGAATTGAGATAGCAGCCAAACTCTGTCAATATATTTGATTTAGTTACAAAATGAATTTGAACAGCCCTTGAAAGCATAAGAACACTAATATCAAACGCTAAATCATATGTTTATAAGATGCATAGCAAGGTGCATAAACCCCTTTCGAAAATGATAAATTATAAAGAAAAAGCTATCATGAGATCTACAGTACTTTACAAATGAGGACTGAATACAGCATTCCGCGTGATGAAAATGTTACTGTAGGTATTCCACAGTACGGTCTTTAATATTTACTAGCCTTTAATATTAGCTTAGCCTTTAATATTAAAGGCTAGTACTAGCCTTTAATATTTTCATTGATGATTTCACACAGCCTCTAGGTCTTCAAATTACAGAGCACTTCAGTGATATGGTGATCAAATCTCGGTTTTTTTTAACATCCAAATGGCAATGAGAACACTGTGACTTTCTCACAGCAATTTTTTACATTGGTGTAATATCTAAATTTCAATCTAAATGGAAACAAATATTTTGTCTTATTATTTCGAAGATTTCGCAAAACTTGATTTAGATACTCTTATCGACGGTACTGTTCTGCCCGATGTCAATCGCATTAAAGAATTAGGTGTTATTTTAAATGACTTACTTAGCTTTACTTTACACCCAGGACAACTTTTATGGTCTACCACTGTCTCTTGGGCACACTTAATATCGGTATATGTGAATTACCTATGTTACTATGATAGTCCAGTTTTAACCTATACAATTCCTAAGCAGTGGGATATCTCCCAAAGAGAAATATTGTTCCTTTTGCAAAATAACCTTTTATGAATTATAGTTAACGCTACATAGTTTGTGCGGAGTTATGACATCTACAGAGATATGGGTATTGTTATTATTTTACTTACATTCTCTCTGTAGCTCAAATTTTCGCAAATGTTCAAAACTCAGAATCTGAAGAAATTGCCAATATTAAGATTTCACTTTCAGCATCAATTTAAACCACTTCAGATTGAATTTTGCTGATTAGGCCTAGTGATTTAATATAGTTTTGACATAACAACCAAAATTCTGCCGTTACTTCATTTCTACACTTGTCTCATTCGTGATACATGTCGGTATGGTTCTCTTAATGAAGGCATAAAGTAGTGTTGATCATAAGAATGCAAGCCCATCTGCACTACACGAAAAATGACAATGGATGTCTTCAGATGGGTTTGGCAGTATGTTTCAGATAATCACATTCATCATTTGGAGGACTTCTCAACATAGATATGACTCTTTAGATATAAGTAATGCCTCTGACTGCTTGTGTAATCGCTTCCTGTGTAGATGGTTTAGCGCATAAGAATAATTAAGATTTACTTAGGTAAATCGAAAGTATGTTTCATAATATTTTTTGCAAAATAAAATGAAGCACGCTCTATTTCACTTACACAGTGCGTACAGAATTTTACAGTTTAACCGGAATTTCGAAATAATGATAAGCAAAACCTACAAAAAAATATATGTGTAACACATCTTCTGTCTTTTCTTTTGTAAGTTATCCTTTAGACTGTAATAAATCTGAAATAAGTATATGAATTATATGTTGAAAAATTCGTTATTTATACAGGAGCACCTTATTCATAATTACACAGGAACAGCTTCCTTATTTTCTTAAAATTAATCGAATGGGTATTCTTGAGTCTTTTGAATAAATATGCAAAGATTAACTAAATTCCCACATTACTCAAATGTAAGATATAAAATTTCCTTGGACAAAATTATTCACACTAAAATTCCTTGTTCGACGAAACTAATATCGTACCGCTTTGTAATCTACTGAAATATTTTAGTTTTTATTAAAATTTGTAATATGCGTTAAATGAAAATGGATACTTATCCTACTTTACTTCTGTCTGTCGGAAACATTTGTTTAGTGCATTTGCATACATTTTAAAGGAACAATTTAGAAAACGTTTTGGTAGTTTATCTAAGCCTTTAAGCTATACATCTTCTAAACTATTTAAGCTTTTAAACTCCTTTCGAAATACGTGAACAAAATAAAAGATGGGAATGGAATTAACTTCCAGATTACAATTCATAAATATCACAGAACTGCCGTTTTAAGAGTAAATTACTTTATGTTCCCTTTGTCCTTTTTGGAAAGTAGAACGAAATAACTGTATTTTCCAATTTTTACTTCCTTGTAAGAAATCAAGGAAGTATTGTAATTTCGAAAAATTCTGGATACCATATTTCAGCGAAAATATCCATTTCGACCACTATTGAATGCAATTTAAAGATGTTTTTGCTTGACATCTGTACGTAAGGACGTAATAAGGGATTCTTTTTTTCCCAAATGAATTATAAAACTGGTTTAAAATGGACTCAGAAGAGTTGTTTTCGTGGCGTCTGTACGTACGTACGTATGTATGTATGTATCTTGCATAACTCAAAAAGCGAATAACTTCAGACAGATATAGGAATGCTAAAACATGTAGTTGTGCACGTCCCTTTTTGGTTACCAATCGGCCGCACCAAAAGTATATATTTAGATATATATATATATATATATATATATTTCTCACTCTGTTACTCGGCTCCGTGAGTAGGTCAACATTTTTATTATTACATGTTGGTAAATGGCGCGTTTTTTGATTTGAAAATGATTGAATTATGTTGTTCATATCTTCCAGTTAAGGTTTTTATGTCTTTAGTTAGTCTGCACGCAATAGTTGTAGAAATATCAACAATTTAAAAGTTGTTTATATGTCTGTGAAAAAAATATTTCTTTTTTATTTGTTCAATTTCTTTTATACATTCTTTCAGATTTATTTATTATAGTATTTAATAGAACATGTGACAACGATTAGATAATTCTTCAGATGATATAACATTTTTGCATTGTGAGTTATAAAATGAATGAGATGTAAAGTGAACGTAGCTGTTAAGTGAAAATAGCGCCAGAGCCTTAAATAAATATAGTGAATGTTACAGAGTACATTTATTCTATTGTGGTTTATGCTTTATCGACGAAGTAGATTTAATTTAATTCAATAAGTTTTAATGAAATGCAGGAAAAAGTAAGTATAGTTTAAAATTCCTCTGATGTGTACACCACATGACTTCCTAAATTTAAAAAAAATTTAATTTAGGAAGTCATGTGGTGCACACATCAGAATTTTATTTTAATAAACAAATTAAGGTAAATAAATCAAAAACAAGGCTTATATTCGAAAGTAAAAATTTCCGTAAGGGCCATAGATCAAAGAACCATGGAGATATTGCCCGATTATAAGATACCAATAAAGAAAAAAATGTTGTAATCAGTTGTTGTAAACAGACTACATTTACTCCACAGAAATACCTACCGATTTCATTGATGTTTAGTTGAGTGAATACCGAGAAAATCCTTTTATAGATATCCTTCCTTTTTCAGAAGGCACTGCCCTATGTCTCCAGGTTACCGCTACGTATCGAACCTCGTAAATCCTCATAAGAAACAATATTTCGCTCTTCTCTCAAATGGCCGGATACTTTGTAACTTAATGCATTCACAGGAATGGCCCAAACCCAACGGCCATTTAGCCATCTCATCAACGAGAGGCGTTGCCTGAAACGCCCCAGAGAAAGCTACCGATCATGAAAAGCATTATAAATCTCATCAAAACTTTTCTCTTCAGGAAAAAATTTGTTTGGAAGTGGAAAATTTCCTTTAGTTATAGAAGATTACCTTCATTGTAACAACGCCATTTGGGACACGCGAGAACTACAGAAACCAAGAAGGACAACGTTAGAAGATATGAACAGATGATATGAACGCCAGAGGATATAAAGAGAACAGCTGCCCTGATGCTCATTTTGAATTTTTGTACGGTATTAGATCAAAATAATTTAATCATATTAAAATTGATATTTATTAGTTTAAGATGAACGTGCCATTCTTCCTATGACCCAGAGAACACATCCTTCGAAAGCTATATTTCTGATATCCTTATCAATAGAACCTTAGATATCATCCTTACTTCAGAAAAATAGAATTTTCTGAATTTTTATATCCTAGTTGAGTAACGTGATTTCCCAATTACATAAGATTTTGTCCCATATCAACTCAATTTATTAATTAGACATCAAATTGTTACTTCTTTTTACTTTAAATTAATTATTTTAAGCGTTTTTTAAGTCATTTAAAATTCATGATCTAATATCAAATGTATAAGATGATAATTTAATACTTAATTAGAGACATAGAGGCCATGTTGTAACTTATGATCTTTTTTTTTCTTATTCTTATTATTTACATTTAATAACATCAATAAGTGAAAGTTTGCTTACCTTTCTTAATAAATATCCACAGGAACGCTTGGAATTCCTTTTCATTTTTATCACACAGAAGTTTTATTTACAGCTATGTACAAGAATTGTATGCTTACATTAGAACATTCATCATGTTTTTCTGGTTGCCACTACATCTATCTCAAAAATCCGCAATGCGGTAAGAAAAAATATAACAAGCTAAAAGTAAAAAAACGCTGCGCCCTCTCGTGGCCAGCTACATAAACTGTAACATCCTCCCCCTCGATGAACTCTTGGTTCATCAAAGGATTGGATTCTGAAGTTATCTTAAACACTAAATGTTTTTAATGTTCTACAAGTTTAAAATGTTCATAGATGCAGTGTTCGCAATTTTAAGTTCATTGTATTCAGTTCAAAGAGTTCAAGTCATTTCTAATGGGTACAATAACTGCACAGGACGACGAAGATGATGTTCCATTAGCTAAACGGACAGTGCAAGCCCTTATTTTCCCATCTCGTCCTGGATGACACTCCTGTACAACTCCCATCTTCCATAATAATCTTGGTAATTTTTCTTCATGTACTAGAACTACAGAGCCTTTCAAAAGATCTGTTACGGCATTACCTCTCTGAATTTGTTTTACGTTTCTAATTTCAAGTAAGTATTCTCTTTTCCATCTTTTCCAAAACTCTTCTAATAACCTTAGCCGGTATTTATATCGCCTTGTTAAATTTTCTTTAGTTGAATCAGGTTCAAGAATTTTGCCAGATGGTAAGGATGTCAGTCTTCGTCCAACTAGAAAATGAGCTGGCGTCAGCGGTTCTGGTTCTCCAACTTCACTATAAACATAAGTCAGTGGACGCGAATTCAATATCGCCTCAATTTCAATTAAAACTGTTTCCAGCTCTTCATCCTTTGTACTCATAGGACCAGCAAAATCAAGTCCTACAACTTCGAAGGGATTTGCCTCTGTTATTCTTTCGATTGGTAAAGGAGCGATATCCTGACTTAGTGGCTTAGCTTTAAATCTGTAGCAAATCACACACTTGTTAATATTACTCTTTACACGCTGTCGACCCTTAAGTATCCAAAATTTTTCCCTAATTTGAGTTAAAGTTTCAGCTACACCAGCGTGTGCTTGCATTTCGTGACAATCTTTAATGATATGATCTGTGAAATGAGACTTCTCAGGTAGTATTGTATTGCTGGGTATGTTTGATTATAGCTTAACCCAGCATTTTGAAGCCTTCCTCCTACTCTGAGTATTCCATTTGAGTCTACAAATGGATTTAATGTAAATATTTTCGAACTATGTATGCTTTGTTTCATCTTTAATTTCCTTATTTCTTCTCTAAAATTTTCTTCCTGAGTTTTCTTGATCCAGAAATTCTCTGCTTCATTCATCTCTTCAGCCTTAACAGGTCCAATTCTTCTTAGTTTTGGGTTTTTCAAATTATTGATAAATCTGAAAACATAAGATGTTATTCTATATACCTTTTTTATGTCACTAAAGTTCTCGATAGGAATGATATTTTTTTCAACAATACAGTTTGCTGTTAAATTTTCTTGCTTCTTTCCTTTTCGTTTCTCAGAATTTGTTATTTTATCATCTTCCTTAAAATTTCTCGAAGATCTGGGCCAAACGTTGTTATCTTTGACAAGCCAAGGTGGGCCATACCACCACAGCTCATTTTTTTTGAAAGGGTTTCTACCTTCTGTCCTCTCGTCAATAAGTCCGAAGGATTCTCATGGCTGGGACAATAATTCCACCAATCTGGATCAGTTTTCTCTTGGATTTCTAGACACCTATTTCGTACAAATTGTTTCCATTTTGTCGGATCAGCCTTGACCCAATGTAATAATACAATTTCTGAATCTGTCCACATATAAATCTTCATTTCTATGTTTTTCAACGAATGTCGGATGTATGTGATGAGTCGAGCTCCTATGACTGCTCCTAAAAGCTCCAGTCGAGGTAACGTAACCCTTTTTATGGGAGCAACTCTTGCTTTGGACATAACAAATGATGTTTTTTGTTAACTCATTTTCATTGTATCTCAAATATACAACGGCACCATATCCCTCTTGGCTACTATCTGTAAAACAGTGCAATTGAATATTCGAAAGATTTCCTTTTGACAGATTGTTGAAATAATGTCTTGGAATTTCAACATTTTTTAATTTAGGAATTTCATTATACCAGGTTTTAAATCGTTTCTGCAATTCCTGATCAAGTGGTGCATCCCATTGGTAACCTCTTTGCCAACATTCTTGCATCATCATTTTAGCAGCCACAAACAAAGGGAGATATGAAACCGATAGGATCGTATAGTTCGCCCGCAACTTGAAGAATCTTCCGTTTTGTTATTTCCTCAGCCGGATCCTTGAGTAATTCATCTTTGATTCGAAATTTCAGTTTATCTGCTTCATGATTCCAAATATATCCTAACAAAGTGCTATTCATTCCGTCTCCAGCTGCATTCCAAATCGCATGTATCGCATTTTGAGTTTCAAGAGCTTCAATTATTATTTTCCCAGGTCCACATATATCTTTAAGAATAACCTTAACCTTTTTTAGCCTTTTAACTGTAGGCTCAGTAGAGGCGAAGGTGTAAATCTGAAGTTCTTCTTCCCCCACAACACTTAATTTTAATTGTTTTGATACTTCTGTCAGGATGAAAGATTTATGAGAGGCAGAATCGAAAATGAGTCTTACATTTTTTCTTCTATTCTGACCTAAAGCTATTGCATTTGCAGTTTGTAAATAAACCCTATTTTTGTTATCTCTTTCCGAAATTGACGCCACCACTGTGTCTGTTTTAAGCTCACCTTTATTTTTCCCGTTTAATTTCAAATTTATTATCATCTACCGACGATTTCGAATTTTAAGAATCGTCATTAAGTCAAATCTTGCATACTCAGGCTTCAACAGAATTTGCAGCTTCGATATCTGCAGCAAATGCTACTTTGTGTTGACGAAATTTAATTAGCAAATCTAATAATTCAGGGTTTAAATTTGGTCCTGAATGTAAGCAATCATTTAAAGATAGACCGTCATGACTTTGCGATAATACAGCATCAAATACGACCCTTAATTTCGTAGAATCGTGATCTTCTCTGATTACACAATGGTGTGGGCAAATAATAGATGTTTTCTTCAGAATTCTTCGGAGCCTTTTCAGCTATTCCTTTATTTAGATAATCTTCAATTTCCCCTTGAATACTTGTCATAAATTTCAGGATTTTTCTTAAACCTTCTAAGTAAACTGTTCCATCTGTTTAAGGCGATGTTATAATTACTACCCATTTTGTTCATATTGTCCTTCCAAGGTAATGAAACTTCATAACGATTGGTTTTATATTCAATAGTTTCTTCAAATCTACGCATAACTTCAGTGTCATTTTCATTTGCTGAATAGTCATGTATTCCAATTTAAATCCAATAGCCTTTTTAGAGCTGCACTAATTTCCAAATCATGTGGATGTGAAGTATTCTCAACAACATTCATTACCGTAATTCCGGAACGAAGTGTAGAAACATTACTTAATGCCTCAGTTCCACTTATAGTGTAACCAAATAAGGTTTCAGAGGCAACAAGACCCTTTGATAATCTTTTAACCTTCCCAGTGACTATTTTCCAGTAATAATCATTACCAATTAATACTGATATTTGAGAGTTATGGACACCTATATCTGTAGCATCAGCAAGTCTTATCGAATTTTCCTTACAATAATTAAGTATTTCCTTTCCTGGTATACCAATAAGAGCTTGATTAATTTCTGGAGTTTCAAGAGCTTCAATTATTATTTTCCCAGGTCCACATATATCTTTAAGAATAACCTTAACCTTTTTTAGCCTTTTAACTGTAGGCTCAGTAGAGGCGAAGGTGTAAATCTGAAGTTCTTCTTCCCCCACAACACTTAATTTTAATTGTTTTGATACTTCTGTCAGGATGAAAGATTTATGAGAGGCAGAATCGAAAATGAGTCTTACATTTTTTCTTCTATTCTGACCTAAAGCTATTGCATTTGCAGTTTGTAAATAAACCCTATTTTTGTTATCTCTTTCCGAAATTGACGCCACCACTGTGTCTGTTTTAAAAGCTCACCTTTATTTTCCCGTTTAATTTCAAATTTATTATCATCTACCGACGATTTTAAGAATGACGCGTGTAATATTCGGGGCTACAGGTTGCTCCGAATATTACACGCGTCATTCTTAAAATCGTCGGTTGCTCCTTTTCCTTTGAAGTCCAAAGAAATCTTACTGCATTTCTGTACTCAGGCTTCAACAGAATTTGTAGAAAAGCAGCTTCGATATCTGCAGCAAATGCTACTTTGTGTGTTGACGAAATTTAATTAGCAAATCTAATAATTCAGGGTTTAAATTTGGTCCTGAATGTAAGCAATCATTTAAAGATAGACCGTCATGACTTTGCGATAATACAGCATCAAATACGACCCTTAATTTCGTAGAATCGTGATCTTCTCTGATTACACAATGGTGTGGCAAATAATAGATGTTTTCTTCAGAATTCTTCGGAGCCTTTTCAGCTACTCCTTTATTTAGATAATCTTCAATTTCCCTTGAATACTTGTCATAAATTTCAGGATTTTTCTTAAACCTTCTAAGTAAACTGTTCCATCTGTTTAAGGCGATGTTATAATTACTACCCATTTTGTTCATATTGTCCTTCCAAGGTAATGAAACTTCATAACGATTGGTTTTATATTCAATAGTTTCTTCAAATCTACGCATAACTTCAGTGTTATTTTCATTTGCTGAATAGTCATGTATTCCAATTTAAATCCAATAGCCTTTTTAGAGCTGCACTAATTTCCAAATCATGTGGATGTGAAGTATTCTCAACAACATTCATTACCGTAATTCCGGAACGAAGTGTAGAAACATTACTTAATGCCTCAGTTCCACTTATAGTGTAACCAAATAAGGTTTCAGAGGCAACAAGACCCTTTGATAATCTTTTAACCTTCCCAGTGACTATTTTCCAGTAATAATCATTACCAATTAATACTGATATTTGAGAGTTATGGACACCTATATCTGTAGCATCAGCAAGTCTTATCGAATTTTCCTTACAATAATTAAGTATTTCCTTTCCTGGTATACCAATAAGAGCTTGATTAATTTCTGGAGTTTCAAGAGCTTCAATTATTATTTTCCCAGGTCCACATATATCTTTAAGAATAACCTTAACCTTTTTTAGCCTTTTAACTGTAGGCTCAGTAGAGGCGAAGGTGTAAATCTGAAGTTCTTCTTCCCCCACAACACTTAATTTTAATTGTTTTGATACTTCTGTCAGGATGAAAGATTTATGAGAGGCAGAATCGAAAATGAGTCTTACATTTTTTTCTTCTATTCTGACCTAAAGCTATTGCATTTGCAGTTTGTAAATAAACCCTATTTTTGTTATCTCTTTCCGAAATTGACGCCACCACTGTGTCTGTTTTAAGCTCACCTTTATTTTCCCGTTTAATTTCAAATTTATTATCATCTACCGACGATTTTAAGAATGACGCGTGTAATACAGGTTGAATATTACACGCGTCATTCTTAAAATCGTCGGTTGCTCCTTCAAGAAAGAAAAGCAGCTTCGATATCTGCAGCAAATGCTACTTTGTGTTGACGAAATTTAATTAGCAAATCTAATAATTCAGGGTTTAAATTTGGTCCTGAATGTAAGCAATCATTTAAAGATAGACCGTCATGACTTTGCGATAATACAGCATCAAATACGACCCTTAATTTCGTAGAATCGTGATCTTCTCTGATTACACAATGGTGTGGCAAATAATAGATGTTTTCTTCAGAATTCTTCGGAGCCTTTTCAGCTACTCCTTTATTTAGATAATCTTCAATTTCCCTTGAATACTTGTCATAAATTTCAGGATTTTTCTTAAACCTTCTAAGTAAACTGTTCCATCTGTTTAAGGCGATGTTATAATTACTACCCATTTTGTTCATATTGTCCTTCCAAGGTAATGAAACTTCATAACGATTGGTTTTATATTCAATAGTTTCTTCAAATCTACGCATAACTTCAGTGTTATTTTCATTTGCTGAATAGTCATGTATTCCAATTTAAATCCAATAGCCTTTTTAGAGCTGCACTAATTTCCAA